AACCTCATCAGGACCCGGCGACTTATTTTGCTTCAGTCTGTCTATCTGCTTCACAACCATTTCACTAGTGACTGTGATGTTACATAATTTATCTTCTTCTAGCCCACTATAAAAATTAATTACTGGAATATTGTTAGTGTCTTCCTGTGTAAAAACTGAGAGAAAATAATTATTAAAAATCGAGCACATTTCATTCTCTTTGTCAGTAAGATGCCCATAGTTATTTTTAAGGGGGCCTATCTTATCTCTAACTTTTGTTCTATATACCTGGAAAAAACTTTTTGGGTTAGTTGTAGAATCCCTAGCAACTTTAATTTCATAGTCCCTTTTAGCTTTTCTTATCCCCTTTTTAATGTCCCTCCTAATGTCAATATACTGATTCATAAGATGGCCCTCACCTCTTTTGATACGCCTATAAATTCCTTTCTTATGCCCTAGTAGATATTTGAGCCTATTATTCATCCATTTTGGGTCATTTCTATTTGATCTAATTTCTTTATATGGGATAAACGTTCTTTGAGCAGCATGTATAGTGTTCAGAAAACTGTCATATTGATAGCTCACTTCGTTACCCCAGTCAACAGATGATAAGTGTTCTCTAAGCCCATCGTAATCTGCTAAGCGAAAATCTGGGACTGTTACTGAGTTATCGCTACTATCGTACTTCCATTCAATGCTAAATGTAATTGATTTGTGGTCGCTAGCACCCAGTTCCTCTGAAATTTCTAAATTATTAACAAGGGATTCATTGTTTGCCAGAACTAAGTCAAGCAGGTTATTTCCCCTTGTAGGTTCTGTCACAAACTGCTTCAAAAAACAATCATGAACTACTTCTAAGAAGTCGTATGATTCTAAATTCCCAGTCAAGAAATTCCAATCAATATGACTAAAGTTCAAGTCTCCTAGAATTACTACATTATTGTGCCTTGTGGCCTTAACAATTTCCTCCCATAGTAGTCTCCCTTGGTCCCTATCTAAGTTTGGGGGATGGTATATCACTCCTAAAATCAGTTTTTCATGTCCCTCTGAAAATTCTATCCAAACAGACTCTGTATGCGTTACTTCAGACTTAATACCCGTTTTTATGCAACAGTTCAAGCGATCTCGGACATACAATGCCACCCCACCCCCCTTCCCGATACTTCTATCTACTTGGAACAATTTAAAACCCTGAATATGACATTCCGCAGGCATGTCCCGACTTTTTGAATTAAACCACGTCTCAGTTAAGGCAAATACATCAATGTTACCTGCACTAGCAACTAATCTCAATTCGTCCATCTTATTCCTAGCACTACGGCAATTAGCATAATAAACATTGAAAGACTCTCCTTTCTCTTTACCCCTCCTGCTCATTTCTGTTTTTCTACTAAACCTATTACTGTCCTTATCACCCAAAGTCCCTGGCTTTTCAATATCTACCTCGTTCTGCTTTTTACTAGTTCCCCTAGAACTCGTAATATTACTACACTGGGACTTCACTGTTTTCCTGCCAAAACCCATACCACTAACTATTCCTAGTTTAAAGTCCTAACTGCTCCCTCCACTGCAGTTGCCAGTGCTACCACCCCAGACCTAGATAAGTGAACCCCATCCCTGGCATACATGTCATTTCTGCCATAGAAGAGGTCCCAGTTGTCAATGAATGTTACCGCATTTTCCTTACAGTATTTGTCCAGCCAGCAATTGACACCAATTGCCCTGGACAACCATTCATTTCCAACTCCTCTCCTTGGCAAAATACCACATATGACAGGGTTCCCACCCTTAATCATAGAACTGATGAGGGAAAAAAGGTGAGTGGTGCATTGAGGCTTATGTGGAGTCAAGAAATGTTATCTATGGAGGCAAAGAAGGGAATGTATGAAAGTATAGTAGTACCAACACTCTTATATGGGTGTGAAGCTGGGTTGTGAATGCAGCAGCGAGGAGGCGGTTGGAGGCAGTGGAGATGTCCTGTTTAAGGGCAATGTGTGGTGTAAATATTATGCAGAAAATTAGGAGTGTGGAAAATAGAAGGTGTGGAGTTAATAAAAGTATTAATCAGAGGGCTGAAGAGGGGTTGTTGAGGTGGTTTGGTCATTTAGAGAAAATGGATCAAAGTAGAATGACATGGAGAGCATATAAATCTGTAGGGGGAAGGAAGGCGGGGTAGGGGTCATCCTCGAAAAGGTTGGAAGGAGGGGGTAAAGGAGGTTTTGTGGGTGAGGGGCTTGGACTTCCAGCAAGCATGTGTGTGTTAGATGGGAGTGAATGGAGACGAATGGTATTTGGGACCTGACGAGCTGTTGGAGTGTGAGCAGGGTAATATTTAGTGAAAGGATTCAGGGAAACCGGTTATTTTTATATAGCTGGACTTGAGTCCTGGAAATGGGAAGTTCAATGCCTGCACTCTAAAGGAGGGGTTTGAGATATTGGCAGTTTGGAGGGATATGTTGTGTATCTTTATACGTTTATACTTCTAAACTGTTGTGTTCTGAGCACCTCTGCAAAAACACTGATTATGTGTGAGTGAGGTGAAAGTGTTGAATGATGATGAAAGTATTTTCTTTTTGGGGATTCTGGGTCACCCTGCCTCGGTGGGTCACCCTGCCTCGGTGGGTCACCCTGCCTCGGTGGGAGATGGCCGACTTGTTGAAAAAAAAAAAAATATTTACATGTCCCAGCAATGTTTTGGATATGTGGTAGTACAGCTGGCCACCATGCAGTTGGCCAGCCAGCTGGCCAGCCAGCTAGCCAGCCAGCCAATCAGTCAGTCAGTCATCCAGACAGGCAGCCAGCCAGCCTGCTAACCAGCCAGCCTGCCAACCAGCCAGCCTGCCAGCCAGCCAGCCTGCCAACCAGCCAGCCTGCCAACCAGCCAGCCTGCCTGAAAACCAGCCAGCTAGCCAGCTAGCCAATCAGTCAGTCAGTCATCCAGACAGGCAGCCAGCCAGTCTGCCAACCAGCCAGCCTGCCAGCCAGCCAGCCAGCCAGAATTGTTTCTCTTGACTTAGGGCATAGATTATAAGACATTCTGAAAGGGTGTTGCACAAATATTGCACATGGGTTATTATTGAGGTTTTTTGATATTTCCTTGACCACTTGTGGCCACATCCACCTCAAAGCCACTAAACTCAGGGTCAAAATCACTTTCCTCTTAAAATGGGAGTGTTAATACTACATGACATCAGTGAATCCCAGGTGTTTGCTCTAGCTGGTGCTCATTTGAACTGGTGCTCCCACAAGGTACTAAGTGGTCCCAGATTTTTTTAATACCGCACACACTGAGTGTTAGGACCCATTTTATGCTGACAGTAAAATTGTATATATACGTTTGGACCGTTTATGGGTTAAAGGAGGGGTTTGGGATATTGACAGTTTGGAGGGATATGTTATATATCTTTATATGTACAGTGGACCCCCGCTTTACGATCACCTCCCAATGCGACGAATTATGTAAGTGTATTTATGTAAGTGCGTTTGTACGTGTATGTTTGGGGGTCTGAAATGGACTAATCTAATTCACAATATTTCTTATGGGAAAAAATTCGGTCAGTACTGGCACCTGAACATACTTCTGGAGTGAAAAAATATCATAAACCGGGGGTCCACTGTACTTCTAAACTCTTGTATCTGGGAGCCTCTGCAGTAACAGTGATTATGTATGAGTGAGATGAAAAGGTTGAATGATGATGAAAGTATTTACTTCTTTGGGAATTTTCTTTCTTTTTGGGTCACCCTGCCTCGATGGGAGACAGCCAAATTGTTGAAAAAAAAAAAAAATTCAAACATTCTTACAATAAGAGAAAGTTACATATTTTGTCAATGCTGAACTACGCACATTGATCTAAGACAAATTTAATACAGTGGAACCTTGGTTTATGTATGCCCTAGTTTGTATGTAAAATGTATTTTTTGCTAATATTTCCCATAAAAAATAACGTAAATCCAATTAATCCATTCCAGATACCAAAAATATTAACAAAAAATACATTTTATAGAGAATAACTATAGTTTTACATACAAACTAGACCATGCGAAAACCAAGGTTCCACTGTACTAGCAAACCCTTGATTTAATGTACTAATAGGAGGAGCAGGTGGCCAGTAATAGCAAATGTGGTGGACAGAGACGAGATTCTTTTGCCACGATCATAATAGTAAGGAATAATTCTGTAGCCAATGGACTTGGTTGTTTCCAAATCAAGTGACCTATCAGATCTTGTTCCATATTTTCAAATCCATCAAACTGCAATTTAAAAACTTCTCAAGCAGTAAAACCTAATATAGGTGGTCCTTAACTTACGATGGAATTTCATTCTGACAAATCCATCGTAAGTTGAAAATATTTTAAGTCGAACATGAATTTTTTTTTCGACACACTGGTCATAGCCCACAAAGACAGGGTGATGTAAAAAGAAAAACAAGTTATTTCTTTTTGCATTTAGTAATTTATACAGAAGGGGTTACTAGCCCCTTGTTCTCAGCATTTTAGTCACCTCTTACAACACGTATGGCTCGACTCAAGAAATCGTAATGACACGATTGCAAATAAACCATACCCCCGGCCGGGATTGAACCCGCGGTCATAGAGTCTCAAAACTCCAGCCCGTCGCGTATGGCTTATGGAGGAGAGATTCTTGTCTACTTATCCATGAAGATGAATGTATTATAAATAAATAAGTAAAAACTACTGTCAGTGAATAAGTAAATAAACAAATAACTAAATACCAATATTGAAAAGTACATAAATGAATACAATTTACAGACTTGCCACCTTCATGTTGGGTAAGTATCTTAAGCTTCATCTTCAGAGTAATGGCCTTCACACTATCGTGAAGTTGCAATATCATTAGTTGAACCATTGTAAGTTGAGGAGCATCTGTACAAGTTTTGTGTCATAATGGTCACTTGTCTCAATGTATACTGTATTATATAACAAGTGAAATCTTTTATTTTATAGAAAGAAGCACATAATGTATTAAGGCAAGTAAAAGATGTAATCTATAAAAAGCTAACCTTTGATCAGGTCTAAATCTAGTGTCTGTAGGAGGTAGATATTTAGATTGATCATCGTCTAACTCATTCAGCTCCATTGCAAACCGAGTGAACCCATAGTAGAGATGATAATCTTCTGGCATGCTTCCTGGGCGCCATACCACACGTGCCGAAGGTGCATGTCCACAGTAAAGAGCCTCAGTCCATTTTCCAAACAGGTTGTGTATAACGTGTCCATCGACATCTGTGACAGTGCCGAAGACTTCGTGACGCTTTGCTGACCATGAACTAGCCTGTAGGAAAAAATTTCTGAATAGAAATTAAAAGCAATTGCAGTCTCTCCTCACTTAGCGATGTACTCGTTTACCAACCGCTCGGACTTATGACCAGCTCTCCAATCGGTTTCCAAACCTATGTACATTAAAAGTGATATCCTCTATTCTGTCTACTACGGTATACAGCACTCTACTATATAAACATTTAAAAGCCTTCTAAAAATGTTATAAATGGTACAAATGTGATATTAAAAAAATATTTAAAGATGGCTGACACAAACCCACTACCAGCATAGTATGCTCCTCGCTTAATGATCAATTAGCTTACCGACCTACTCTTAGGAACGGAACCCATCGTTAAGTGAGGAGAGGCTGTACACTATCATACAGGCACTCGCTTTAGAGTCAGTTACAGGAGGCCCTAAATATACACCACCTTCTTTTCAGTGTTCCATGTTTTCATTGGCTTCAAATTGAGCTGTTGTTCATTATGTTCCACCCACTGGTGATAGGCACTGGCAGGTGCAACAATGGCTTAATTGAAAGCCGACGAAAACATGGAACACTGAAAATGGGCGATGCACATGCGGGGTGCTCCTACTTATGTTTATTAATTATACTTGCCTTGCTCTTAACCCTTAAACTGTCCAAACAAATCTACGTTCACATGCGTAGTGCTCCAAAAGTAGATCTACGTTTTTTTACATATTTTCAATAACAAAAAAAACGTAGATCCAAGTTTTTTTTACACGTTTTCAAAAAAAAAAATCTACGTTTTTTTTACATACTTTCAAATGTTGAAAAAATGTAGATCTACGTTTGGACAACTTAAGGGTTAATGCTTGTTGGCAATTTTCAATTTTTTTATTATTTTTACTTCTGCATCATCTTTTCAGGCCTCGTGCTATTGTGCACTTAATAAATGATAGTGTAAATATGTTTTTAGGCTTTTATATATGCTATGAATTGCTTTAACTCTTAAACTGTCCAAACATAGGTCTATATTCACATGCATAGTAGTCCAAAAGTAGATCTACGTTTTTTACGTATTTTCAAATAAAAAAAAACGTAGATCAAAGTTTTCTAAACGCTTTCAAATGTTAAAAAAAAAAAAGATATACATTTTTTTACATAGTTTTAAATGTTGATAAAACGTACATCTACGTTTGGACAGTTTACGGGTTAAGCGATATCTGTTTTACAGTGGCAGTCTGGAACCTAACCCACCACATTAGTGAGTTTTTTTCTGTTCTTTTCAATACTTCGGACATCTTCCCTTGAGGCAGGGTGACCCAAAAAAGAAAAACACTTTCACCATCATTCGCTCAGATATGGCAATTTAGATGTCACTCCAAACATCCAATATATCAAACCCCTCCTTTAAGGTGCAGGCATCGTACTTCCCACCTCCAGGTCTCAAGTCTGGCTCACTGGTTTCCCTGAATCCCTTCACAAAATATCACACTGCTCACACTCCAACAGCTCATCAGGTCCCAAAAACCATTTGTCTTCACTAACTCCTATTAGTGAGGCATGCCATTATATATAATGGCATGCCTTATTGTGGCTAGCTGGTCTAGTGGCTAACGCAACGGGCTGGAGTTTTGAGACTCTATGACCGCGGGTTCAATCCCGGCCGGGGGTATGGTTCATATAAAAAAAAAAATTTACAAGGAAATTTGTACATTTAATAACAAAGAAATCGATAAAATTGATAAAATGCTAAATACATATTAAGATGAGGGTGGATAATGTTAGAGATTACATATTTACAGACAAGGGAGGACAGAAATGCTCATGGTGTGTAATCTTCAATATCATACACAAATAAGCTGCACATAGGATAAACTTTACAGCGGCATTTTGATCTGACGGACTGAAATGTCGTCATAAAGTTCTTTCTCCCAGATCCAGGTTATTTATGTATTGTTCCAGTCATAGTATTGTGCTTTTCTGTTCTTCAATATCATTATATAAAATTACATATACAGTGGACCCCTGCATAACGATCACCTCCGCATGCGACCAATTATGTAAGTGTATTTACGTAAGTGCGTTTGTACGTGTATGTTTGGGGGTCTGAAATGGACTAATCTACTTTACAATATTCCTTATGGGAACAAATTCGGTCAGTACTGGCACCTGAACATACTGCTGGAGTGAAAAAATATCGTTAACCGGGGGTCCACTGTATAAACATACTGCCCCGTGGCCTGGTGGCAAAAGCTCTCGCTTCACATGGTGAGGGTCCGGGTTCGATTCCCAGCAGAGGAGTGGAAACATTGGGCGTGTTTCCTTACACCGGTTGTCTATGTTCACCCATCAGTAAAATGGGTACCTGGGTGTTAGCCAACTGGTGTGGGTTGCATCCTGGGTGTTAATCGACTGGTGTGGGTTGCAGCCTGGGTGTTAATCGACTGGTGTGGGTTGCATCCTGGGATGCAACCCACATAACAAGGGGCTTTCTGTACAGTAGTACAGTGGAATCCCGAGTTCAGTATGCCCTGAGTATCGTACGCTTCAAGTTTAGAACCATTTTTCGGCTAAATTTTGTCCAAATTTTTGCACTGTGCCCCGTGTTTCATCCTGCGTACCAGACCTGTCCTCCTGCCCGCGCCTGTGCGCCTCCCCGCGCAGCCGTTGTGAATCAGTCTGGCTATGTTTCTCTTAGAGTGAACATTACCTTATATACTAGATCCTTCGCTTCGAACTATAGACCAATAAGCCTTACCTCCATAGTGGGAAAATTTATGGAATCAATAATTGCCGAAGCAATTCGTAGCCATCTTGACAGGCACAGATTGATTAATGATTCTCAACACGGTTTTACAAAGGGGCGTTCCTGTCTTACGAATTTACTAACTTTTTTCACTAAGGTGTTTGAGGAGGTAGATCATGGTAATGAATATGATATTGTGTATATGGACTTCAGTAAGGCTTTCGATAGAGTTCCACACCAGAGGCTATTGAGGAAACTTAGGGCACATGGAATAGGAGGAGAAATTTTTTCCTGGGTAGAGGCATGGCTGACAAATAGGCAGCAGAGAGTTTGCATAAATGGGGAGAAATCAGAATGGGGGCACGTCACAAGCGGTGTTCCTCAGGGGTCAATGTTGGGCCCGTTGTTGTTCACAATTTACATGAACGACATAGATGAGGGAATAAATAGCGACATAAGCAAATTTGCTGATGACACCAAAATATGCCGTCCAATTCATTCTAATGAGGACACTAGAGCACTCCAGGATGATTTGATTAGACTGACGCAATGGTCAGAGAAGTGGCAGATGCAGTTTAATATTGACAAATGCAAAGATCTAAATGTTGGACAGTTAAATAACCATGCCACATATAAACTAAATAATGTAGATCTTAATACTACCGATTGCAAAAATGATTTAGGAGTTCTGGTTAGCAGTAACCTAAAACCAAGACAACAGTGCATTAGTGTTCGCAATAAAGCTAACAGAATTCTTTTCTTCATATCTAGAAGTATAAATAATAGAAGTCCTCAGGTTGTTCTTCAACTCTATATATCCTTGGTTAGGCCTCATTTAGACTATGCTGCTCAGTTCTGGTCACCGTATTACAGAATGGATATTAATGCTCTGGAAAACGTACATAGGAGGATGACAAAGATGATCCCATGTATCAGAAATCTTCCCTATGAGGATAGACTGAAGGCCCTGAATCTGCACTCTCTCGAAAGGCGTAGAATTAGGGGGGATATGATTGAGGTGTATAAATGGAAAACAGGAATAAATAAAGGGGATGTAAATAGTGTGCTGAAAATTTCCAGCTAAGACAGGACTCGCAGCAATGGTTTCAAGTTGGAAAAATTCAGATTCAGGAAGGATATAGGAAAGTACTGGTTTGGTAATAGAGTTGTGGATGAGTGGAACAAGCTCCCGAGTACAGTTATTGAGGCTAAAACGTCGTGTAGTTTTAAAAATAGGTTAAATACATGAGTGGGTGTGGGTGGGTGTGAGTTGGACCTGACTAGCTTGTGCTGCTGGGTCTGGTACAGTGCTCCATCCTTGAGTGGGGATGACCAGACTGGGTGGGTCATTGGGATAATCCGGGGGTGGGTCATTGGTCTAATCCGGGGGAGACATGGACCTGCTCCGCATGGGTCAGTAGGCCTGTTGCAGTGTTCCTTCTTTCTTATGTTCTTAAAGTGCCCTAGAGTGATAAAATGCATATACAGTACACTCATTACTTACCTAAAAATATTTGTAGTCTTAATGGTCTTAATACAGGGTGCAAGGTGAATAGTATGGTAGGTACATATGAAAGTGTGGTAGGTATGTAACCCCCATCTGGCTACCCCACTCACACATTATATAGTAGGCATTTAAAGTGCCCTAAAGTGATAAAATGTATATACAGTACACCCATTACTTACCTTAAAATATTTGTAGTCTTGATGGTCTTAATATAGGGTGTAAGGGGAATAGTAAAGTAGGTACATATGGAAGTGTGGTAGGTATGGAACCCCCCATCTTGCTACCCCACTCACACATTATATACTAGGCTTCTAAAGTGCTCTAGAGTGTTAAAATGCATATACAGTACACTCATTACTTTTTTTTTTTCAACAAGTCGGCCGTCTCCCACGGAGGCAGGGAGACCCAAAAAAGAAAGAAAATCCCCAAAAAGAAAAATACTTTCATCATCATTCAACACTTTCACCACACTCACACATTATCACTGTTTTTCCAGAGGTGCTCAGAATACAACAGTCTAGAAGCATATACATATAAAGATACACAACATATCCCTCCAAACTCCCAATATCCCAAACCCCTCCTTTAAAGTGCAGGCATTGTAATTCCCATTTCCAGGACTAAAGTCCGACCATATGAAAATAACCGGTTTCCCTGAATCCCTTCACTAAATATTACCCTGCTCACGCTCCAACAGATCGTCAGGTCCCAAGTACCATTCGTCTCCATTCACTCCTATCTAACACGCTCACGCACGCTTGCTGGAAGTCCAAGCCCCTTGCCCACAAAACC